GGAATGGAAAGAAGATGACTAGGAGTCATAAAACAATTGACTCTGTAGCACGTACGTTGGATATGACATCAGTACCCGCTATGTTGGTAGATGAGGACACAGACGTTAAGAGACAATTCTTCCGACAACGGAGATAATTATCTTTGTCATCATCTCATAACGTATCTCATTGCTATGCGTTATTTGTGAGTATATTTTTCTACTGTAATGATAATTTTTTGTTCATAAATGTAGATTCTGAATATGTTTCCAACGATGAGAATAGTGACGATGCACTTGACGATACTGGTAAATATCATTTTAATCTAACAACTTTTAATCTTAACATTACCAATTATATAAATTCATTAAATTATTTTAAATGAATAATATTATTTAATTAATTTTGGATAGATTATGAAGATCTTGGAGACCAGACGTATGAATGTCCTTTTTGTGGTTCAATGATGTGGTACGGTGAAAGAATTGACAAGCATAGACAAACATCCAGGCCCAAATTTGGCTTATGTTGTATGTCCGGGAAAGTCCAGCTCCAAAAAATAAGAGATGCACCTCCTACACTTAACAATTTAGTGTTGGGCACTGATCGGATGAGCAAACATTTCCAAGAGAACGTACGATCGTATAATATGATGTTTTCTTTCACGTCGCTTGGTGGAAAAGTGCAGACATCTATTAATAACGGATCTGGTCCATACACATTTCTGTTACACGGACAGAATTACCATCTACTGGGCAGTTTATTGCCGGAAGAAGGCACTAGGCCTAAGTTTGCCCAACTTTACATTTTCGACACAGAAAATGAGATTCAGAATCGAATTGATGCCGTCAGGTAAATTTTTCGGAATTATATTCCTGTTCTAAGGAATATAGAGCTTACAAATTATAATTACATTATTTTTTATTTGACAGGTCCGGAAATTAATCTAACAATCTTGACCCAGCCATCGTTGCATCGTTGAAAGATATGATTGACGGTAACAATGTACTTGCACAACATTACCGTGCTGTTCGAGATCGTTTTTCCAATGATGGCCATCAAGGAGTAAAACTCAGATTGGTAAAGAGTCGCAGTACTGATGGCAGGACGTACAATGTTCCTAACGCAAGTGAAATAACAGGCTTGATCGTTGGTGACTTTGACACACAAGAGGGTGTTAGGGATATTGTAGTTGATACGCGCTCAAATAAGCTTCAATGAATCAGTGAGCTCCATCCTCTTTACTTGCCTCTACAGTATCCTCTTTTATTTCCTTACGGTGAAGATGGTTATCGAGACGATATCAGTTTGAGAGAATCTTCATTTGCTGATAATAGAAAACGAAGGAAGGTAAACATGCGAGAATTCTTTGCATACCTAATTCAGAAACGGCATGGATAACATTCGTTACTTTTGCATTCCAAGAAGTTATTTTTGCAGTTCTGTGTTGATGGATTTTCGATGGTTGAGTCACAGAGGTTGAATTTCATAAGGTTCAATCAGGATCAACTTAGGGTTGACATGTACAAGGGTATCGAAGAAAAGATTTTTAAAGGAGACACTGAGGGTAAATCGGTTGGACAACGCATTATAATTCCAGGGTCGTTCACCGCAGGTCCAAGGTATATGTTTAACAACTTCGTTGATGCTCTTCAAATATGTAACTGGATTGGATTTCCAACCCTCTTCATCACCATCACATGCAATCCCCAATGGCCAGAAATACAAAGGGTGTTAAAAGATACAAATCTCAGGCCGGAGAATCGGCCAGACATTCTGTGTCGTGTGTTCAAAATGAAGCTCGATAGTATGATGACGGAAATCAAGAAGGGCCGTATATTCGAACGTATTAGAGCATGTGAGTATTTAATTAGATATCCATTTATAATTAAACATTTAATACGTTTATATAAAATAGATAATTTAGTCATGTGCAAGTTTAACTACTTTTTGCTTCATTAACTAAATTAATTCATATTTTTTAATACCGTATGTTTACATTTTTTATGCAGATGTATGCACAATAGAATTTCAGAAACGAGGTCTACCGCATGCACATATTTTATTGTGATTGCATAATGACGACAAGCCCAAGAATCCAGAAGAAATTGACAGGATCATATGTGCTGAAATTTCTGATGAAGAAAACGACAGAAAGATGTACCAGTTGGTGGAGAAGTATATGATACATGGACCGTGCGGTCAGGCGAATTTGAAATCTCCATATATGAAAGATAGAGTTTGCACGAAGCGATTTCCAAAGCCGTTTGTGCAGCGCACTGAATCAGATGCAGATGGGTTTACAGTGTATAGGAGACACTACAAGAAAAGTAACTATTGATAGCACTTCATTATAGCGTTTTTAAGGGAAATGCTATAATAGCTATTTTTTATTTTTATAAACTAATAGTAAATAATAGAAAACGCTATAATATTAGCACGGCGGGTTTTACTCTTAAAATACTCGCCAAAGTTTTTTTTCACAAACAGATCTCGACTCTCTGGTTCACTTTTTTATCTTTCAAACTCAGTTTCCCGATTAGAAAACCCCTCGGAAGCTTTCATTATGTCGTTGCGGAGATCTCTCGGGTTTTCTCTCTTACGCAATCAGAACCCCTCTTTATAGGTGACACAAATCCGTGAACCAATGTTTGAAGACTGCCATCTCTCTGTTCACCATCGACCTAGTGTCAATATCTTTCTGTTTTTCTCATTTTTTACCAGCGATGAAGGTATCTCTAACTTTCAATTTCTAGATTTCTCCCAATTTTTTTTTTTTTTTTTTTGCAAAAAGCCCTAGATTCACTCAATTAATTTACTGTTGATTTGCCTAATCTTTCTCTTAAGGAAAATGATGATGATCGTTTTTAACCTTTTCTAAATTACAATGTTCTTTAACCCATTAAAGAATTGATATTTTATTTTCGGTTTACACACGGCCATTGTTAATTCTGGTATGTGACTTTAGTAACATACGGTTGTTTTGTGGTATAAACTATGCAAGTATGATGATTTAGAAAATGTAGGCTTTTAATAATAAATTGTGAACTTTTGGTGGATTCAATCTATTTTGCTTTAGGTGGAAGTGCATTTCATAATGTAGAATTGATAAAAGTAAAAGGGAAAGACAAACAAAATTGGCTATTTATATGATTTAATATCTGAGAATGTCGTTTTCCTGTTTGGTTTGGTATCGATCAATTTTTCTTGTGCAGTTCCAGTTTTCTTTTATTTATATCTAAGTTTATTGGATTCTTCTATGCACTGTTTCACCTTTATGCATATGTAATTTTACGGGATTCTTCTATGGTCTATTTATATAATTTTAGGTGTGAAGTTTTATAAAGTTTTGGGAACCTCTTACTACATATTCAAGCAACGCTCATTTGAAATTAATGGCTAGACACATATATGAGGTGTTGGGGCGATTCTTTGTCTTGGTGTGTGGAGTTTCTTCATTCCTGGCTGGTAACATTGATTTCTTTATTGAACTTGGTCCTCCTGCTCTCTCTATGACTCGTAAATACGTGTATATATTCATATACCTAACATATCATTTGCACTACTACTGAGTTTTCAGTCGCAATTATAGATGTTCACATATAATACTGTAAGATTTAGTATTTTGATTTATTTGGTTTATTGTTTATACTGAAAGATTTAATATTTTGAATTTGTTTGGTGTATTGTTTATGCTGGATGGTTTAGTATTCTGAATTTGTTTGGATCATTGTTCATGCTAAATGATTTAGTATTTTTCTAATTTCGATATTCTGAAAATATACTATTGGGTTTAACCTATTTAAGCGATTGCATACTATATACTTATCATTTTATATATTACAGCCTTAAATATCTTGACGGAGCATCTATGACAATTTTTATCAAGAGAGAGGACAAAGGATCACAAGGTACTTACATTGATTTTGCACGTTGGTGATTTTTTTTTCTTGTAGTGATTCTCTTGTCCATAATAAATTTAATCCATATTTTCTATATTGTGGTTAATTAACTAATATATAAGATTTTTTTGCATGTTTTCATTTGTAATATAATATATATACTAACAATAGATATCCTTATGTATTCAAGAAGTTTTTATGTATTCAGGTATTGGATGTTGGATGTAACATACTAACTGAGGACATGGTACGTTAGGTGATTGAGGTCGTAGGTAATCCCTATAAATGTTCAATGCTTGATTACTTATTTTTCTGGTCGTATAGAAATTTGGTAGAGATGGACAACTATTATATGTCTGATGCAATTTAAGTCAAAATTGAGGCTAGTGATTCTCCATCCAAAGAACTGGTCTGAAATTGATAACGAACATAGGTGCTAACCTATTAACAACATGGAGTACATAGTTTTATACTCAATTATTTTATTTTTTGTAACTAAGTGTAAATTTTTGTATCTTTTGGAACAGGTCAAGGTGATGGTGAAGAACTACAAATACGGATTTGAGATGCAATGCTTAGAAGTAGTAATAGATTTTCCTTCACGGAGTTTCTCAGACATTGTCGAATTTAGCTATTTTCTACTCAATCTAGTTTAAGTAGTCCTTGAAGACAGCTAATTTTTGTATTGTTTCTTCAATTGGGTTCAAATACTAATACAAATGATTTATTTTGTAACATTTTTTTAATATTCATTTCGTATTTTACATCATTGCTGCAGTAAAGTTAGAAGGTTCGACATTAAAAATAAATAGTGAAAATTTAATACAGTAGCATTTTTCAATGCTATCAGTGATATTTAAGGATCCCTTTCATTGGTAATTCAATAGGATTTAAAACTGAAATAGCAATTTAATAATGCTATGAAAGAGGTATAATAGCGTTTGATTACTGCTGTAAGAACACATACAATAACAAAGAAAAAATGCTATCTAAAGTAACACTAACATGGCGTTTTAGAAACGCTATCTAATGTAGAACCTACAATAGCGTTTGAAAACCGCTATAAAAGAACCGAGATCTATTATAGCTCGGGCAGACATAGCGTTTGTAAAAACGCTATGGAATCCTATAATAGCGTTTTTCAAACGCTACGAATAAGGATTTTTGTTGTAGTGAGAAGGGAAGATGGCAGAACAGTTACGAAGAAGAAGACTACTCTTGATAATGGGTTTGTGGTCCCCTACAATCGTATATTGTTGAGTAAATACCGAGCTCACATTAATATCGAGCTATGCAACCAAAACAAGTCAATTAAATACCTGTTCAAATATGTAAACAAGGGGCATGACCGAGTCACAGCGGCATTTTATGAGACACGCAATACAGATGGCGGTGCTGAGATTCGTGATGAGATAAAGATGTACTACGACTGCAGATATCTTTCGGCGTGTGAGGCAATGTGGAGGTTGTTTAACTTTGATATTCATTACAGAGACCCGTCCGTAATTAGGCTAAGCTTTCATCTCCCCGATCATCAGCCAATTGTCTTCAATGAAAACCAGTCATTACAAAGTGTGTTGGATAGGCCATCTGCCAAGCAAACTATGTTCCTGGCGTGGTTTGAGGCCAACAAGAACTATCCACATGCAAGGAACTTGAGGTACGGAGATTTTCCACAACAATTTGTGTATAAAGAGGATTCTCGAACTTGGGTGCCAAGGAAAAAAGGATTTTCTATCGGTAGGATTGCGAATGTTCCCTCTGGAAAGGGGGAAGACTATTACCTTAGGTTGCTACTTAACATTCAAAGGGGATGCACGTGCTACGAGGACATCAGAAAAGTTTTTGACATCGTCTACCCTACGTTCAGGGATGCATGTTATGTGTTGGGTTTGCTAGATGACGACAAAGAATACATAGATGCAATAAAAGAAGTGAATACTTGGGCATCGATGGATTATATAAGAAGGTTATTTGCGGTTATGTTGCTTTCCAATAGCTTAAGTCGGCCCGAACATGTTTGGCAAAGTTGTTGGTTGGATTTGGCTGATGGTATTGCTTACAAACAACAACGTCTTCATAAAAATCCAGGTATGGCAATTTGTATGGCATTGTATTCAATTAGATTTTACGTATTAATCATTCCTTTAATATTGTCTATGTACGATTTCAACTAGATGCACATAATTTATCCATTTTTTTATTGTTGAAGATTTACATATATCGGATGAAAGCTTGAAGAACTATACTCTCACCGAAATAGAAAAAATATTGCAAAGCAATGGTAAAAGCCTGCAAAATTACGCGCCTATGCCAGTTCCAATCGAATACTCATATGAGGACACAAAAAACATATTGGTGTTAGATGAACTGGATTACGACCGGTTTGAAATTGGTAGAGAACTTCAACAGTGTCTTGCTTCCATTACAGATGAGCAAACAAAGGTTTATGATGTAGTCATGGATGCATTAACCAATGAAAGTGGTGGAATGTTCTTTCTATATGGCCATGGTGGAACGGGAAAGACGTTTCTATGGAAAACTCTTTCGGCAGCAGTTCGTTCGAATGGAGAGATTGTAATTAACGTTGCATCGAGTGGTATAGCATCGTTATTGCTCCCCGGTGGAAGAACAGCTCATTCTCGATTCAGACTACCCATAAATGTACATGAGAGTTCCACCTGCAGCATATTGCAACAAAGTCCACAGGCAGAGTTGCTCACAAGGGCAAAGCTTATTATATGGGACGAGGCTCCTATGATGCATAGATACTGTTTTGAAGCCCTTGACAAGACAATGAAGTCAATATTACAGGCTGACAAACCCTTTGGTGGTAAGGTGGTTGTTATTGGAGGTGATTTTAGGCAGATTTTACCAGTTGTGCTCAAAGCATCAAGGCAGGACATAGTACATGCTACGATAAACTCCTCCCGCTGTGAAATTTCTGTCAGGTCATGAAGTTGACTAAGAACATGAGATTGCAGTCATGTTCTTCTCCATCTAATGTGGATGAGATAAAAGAATTTGGAGACTGGATACTGAATGTTGGTAATGGGGATGTTGGGGAAGACAATGATGGTGAAGCTTCGATAGAGATTCCAGATGACATGTTGATTGGTGATTCAGAAGATCCATTCAGAGACCTACTCAAATTCGTTTACCCGGATTTGTTGAGTAACATGTACGATCGAGATTATTTTCAAGGGAGGGCAATTCTTGCACCAACTAATGAATGCGTCGAGTCTGTGAACGATCACTTAATGTCTCTCCTTCCAGGAGAGGAGAAGGTGTACCTGAGCTCAGATAGTATGTGTAGGGACGAGCACACAACGGAGGATAATGCAGAAAGTTATTCGACTGAATTCCTCAACACAATAAGATGCTCTGGAGTTCCTTCTCATGCGTTGAGGATCAAGGTTGGTGCACCCGTTATGCTAATAAGAAACATCGATCAAGCTAGAGGATTGTGCAACGGTACCAGACTTCAAATTATTAGAACTGACATTCACGTTCTGAGTTGCAAAATTCTTTCCGGAAAAGATATCGGTGACATGGTATTCATTCCTCGGATGACTTTAATACCATCTAACTCCGGACTGCCAATTAAATTTCAGAGAAGACAATTTCCGTTGATTGTTTCTTTTGCAATGACGATAAATAAAAGCCAAGGCCAAACTCTTTCGCATGTTGGTTTGTATCTTCCTAGGCCTGTCTTCAGCCATGGTCAACTATATGTTGCAGTGTCCAGAGTTAAGAGCAGAGGTGGCATTAAGATATTCATCAAGTCGGATTCGGGTGAACTCACCAATGTTACTAGAAATGTCGTGTACAAGGAAGTATTTCATCGAATTAGAAGGTAGAAAATATTTTCATATTTATCATTTATTCATGTAACATGTTTTTTATTTTATTTTTAAAGAACTTATTCTTTTGCAGGTGTTTCTTATCTATATATTTTCCCCGGTGCGATGTTATTTTCAGTCATTTCCCTATGGTGCTCGGTGCAATTCTTATTATCTTTAAGATTTATTTTTGACGATATACTAATATTTAATAGTATTCTTATATTATAACTATGAAGAACATGACACTTATAACATATTTTTATTATCGTTGGTCGATTACGTTATGTACTTAGATTTAGTGACCGTAATAATTGTTATCTGCTTAAATTTATTTTTGAGACATGTATTTTCAGTCAAAAATATGTCGCCCCGTGCATCGCACGGGTGAATACTAGTTATTTCTTAATTCACAGTTGTAACATATAAAATTCAATTAAATATTACAAAGAAGAATACGTGAAGCATGCAAAACACGAGATGAAGATTATGTGAAATCATTTAAAACATATGGTATAACTCTATTTCAAGAAATGCAATCTACTACACCATGTGAATCTTCTGCAAAATAATTAACTTAACAACAAACACAGTGGTACAAAGGTAACACAATAGATATTCAAACAACCTGCAAGTTTATCACTAACACATTTCTCAAACAACAACACAACTTATAAATATTGCAAAATAGATACGATGTATACGCCACTACCAATAATGATACAAATACTGATATCAGTAATGATACTAATACTGATACTGATATTAATACTAATACTAATACTAATACTAATACTAATACTAATACTAATACTAATACTAATACTAATACTAATACTAATACTAATACTAATACTAACACTAATACTAATACTAATACTAATATTAATGCTAATACTAATATTAATACTAATACTAATACTAATATTAATACTAATACTAATACTAATACTAATATTAATACTAATATTAATACTAATACTAATACTAATACTAATACTAATACTAATACTAATACTAATACTAATACAATACTAATAGTGATACTTATTGATACTTACTAATACTGATACTGATACTGATAATGATATTGATACTGATACTGACACTGATATTGATACTGATACTGACACAAGTGTTGATACTTATACTGATGTTGATAGTCATATTGATACTCATATTAATATTAATATTAATACTAATACTAATACTGATACTCATACTAATATTGATACTAATATTGATACTAATGTTGATACTAATACTAATAATACGGACACTGATATTGATACTGATACTGATACTGATACTGATACTGATACTGATACTGACACTGATATTGATAATAATACTGAAACTAATACTAAAATTGATACTGGTGTTGATACTTATACTGATAATGATACTGATACTGAAACTGATATCGATATTCATACTTAAATTTGATATTGGTACCGGTACTATACCTATACTAATACTGATACGGATACTTATGCTGATATTAATATTAATATTAATACTATTACTAATATTAATATTAATACTAATACTGATACTAATACTATTTATTACTAATACTATTATTAATACTAATATTAATGCTACAACTAATTTTAATGTTAATGATACATATAATGATACTGATACTGATACCGATACTAATACTGATATTGTTATGGATATTGGTAGTTTGATACTGATGTTGGTATTGTTATTGATACTGATACTGATACTGATACTGAACCCATATTAATATTGATACTTCAACTTATACAGATATTAGTACTAATATTTGTACTAATAATAATACTATTATTAAAAGTAATACTAATACTAATACTAATACTAATACTAATACTAATACTAATACTAATACTAATACTGATACTAATATTAATACTAATACTATTATTAATACTATTACTAATACTAATATGTTAATATTGTTAATGTTAATGCTACTAAGTTTAATGATAATGCTAATCTGGATATGCTAATTATTATGCTAATGCAAATTATAATTGTAATTCTAATATTATTCAAATCCTTACACTATTCTTAATCCTATTCATAACACTAATCATAATTCTAATCCCAATTATAATCATAATCCTATTTCTAAGACTAATCATAAGCAAAATAACTTTATTATTAATAATGCAAATGCTAATGCAAATGCTAATGCTAATGTTAATTATAATTCAAATCTTAATTATAATTCTAATCCCAATCCTAATGCTAATCATAATAATAATACTAATACATGTCACTAATTATCGTACTAACTACTAAGCATAATCATAATCTTAATTCTAATTCTAATACTAATATTAATCATAATCCTAATATTAATTATAATTTTATGTTAATCATAATTAAAATATGAATCCTATTTCTAGTATTAATGCTAATACTAATGTAAATAATATTACCTATAATTCTAATTCTCATGCTAATATTAATCACAAAATCTGAGTTTGCATCAATATTTTATTTGCAGTGATCTATTACTTTTTATAAAAAAAAACAATTTTATTCACTCTCGAACCTTTATATCAAATTTCTTATGTGCGGTAATTGAAACATCTAAAAACACATATTAAATATATTAGAAATTAATATTTAATTATATTATGTAACTGAACTTAAAATTATTTAAAATATTATAAGGGTATAAGCAAATGTTAATACGTAAAAGAACAATGATCGTCGTTAATAAGATAAATTATGAAAATCCTCCTGAACTTAGGCTAAATTACAGAAAACACCCCCACTTATCGGTGATTACCAAAATCCCCTGATGTTTGTTTCCGTCTTACACGACCCCCTCATGGTGTGAATTTTTACGGAATATTTTTTATTCCATGTAATATCCCAAAAAATATGGATTCTACCCTGAGGGGTGACATTTCTTTTATCGTAACAAAAATTACCGTCAGGGGTGGTCATGGTAGTAATTAAAATTTGTGAAACTGTTATTTAAGAAGAATAAAAATTTTGTGTAAAGTACCCTGAGGGTAATTTTTGTCTTTAAAAAGTACCATAAAGATATGTCGCGTGTGCATGGTATAATCAACATTTTTCGGGGAATATTCTACAAAATAAAAAAAATCCTTGAAAAATCATACCATAATGGGGTCGATGTAAGACGGAAACAAACATCAGAGGATTTTGGTAATTACGAATATGTGGGGGTGTTTTTCTTAATTTAGCCTATGTTTAGGTGGTTTTCATAAGTTATCCTTGTTAATATACAACTAAACTTATTTACACGTATCACCATATGTTAGAAACTAACATAAAGGCTCATGTTATTGAAAATAGATCAAATTTCAAGTAAACAAAAGTCACTATAAAATGCTTATATAGATAAAAAAAAATGCAAAAATAAAAATTAATTGATGTTCAAAATATATAGAATATATAGTATGGGTACAAATTTAGACCGAATGGCCTGTTTTAATAGGAAAATCGGATGCCATAGAATATTGACACGTAGATAGTTTAAATAAAAATATAATTAGGATTCTAATAATTGAAAAATAAAAAAGAAAAAGAAAAAAGAAAACCCCAGCATAACCCGTAACCCCATTAACCCTAATTATAATCAGCGTGATTTATTAAGAATTAAGACTTAAGAGTACCACATCTCAAAAATTTAGTGGAATCCGATTTATATTAAATATCGGCTGATCCGCTCAGAATTTAACCTTTATATAGTATATACGATTAATTGATACTCTTAACATTTGGTATTAAAGAAAGTAAATAAACGAATTTAATAATAAAGATTTAGAATAACATTGTTATATTTTGAAATATATAAAATTAATTCATTTTTTTTATCAATTGATTAAACATAACTTATGTTATTCAATTTATTAGAATAATCATGGTAAATTTTTTATTTTAATCTGTATAATATATAAAAGTTGAATTCCACACCTAATTGATTGACATTTGGCAATCTCAATTGGTGACATGTCCTCAATTTCATCCCAAGTGGCGAATTGATTGGTGGAAATAAATCATCAAAAAACATGTCATCATTTGCCAAAATTAAAGATGATTAACTATATTTAATTATTTTATTAATATATTTATATCTTACTATTTATAAAATGCTTTAAATATATCAACTTTCTTCGAAACACTAAATAAATTTAATTTTTTGATTTAATTTTATAATTAATTTAATTTCAATTTAGGTAAATTTAATTTAAAATATTCCGTTATTATAATTGCATGATTGGTGGTGTTACGGAAGTTTTATATTTTAATTCATAAACTTAGATTTATATTAACAAAATATTGCAGAATAAATTATTTGATATGATACATTTTACATGAACATGACTAGAGAATATGGTTTTTTTACCAATTTAATATTATATATTAAAATTATCTGTAAACAAAAATATACATGTTCGAATTTACAATATTGCATAACACTATTTTTTTTCTGTCACGTGTAGAGTAATGTATTCCCCATTATTTAACATATCGGAAATTATACAACATGAATTTCATTTATTATTTAAACAATTATTTTTTCTTCACTGAATCCAGTGACGATAAATTTTACGATTGATTTAGCTTTTTATAGTATATACTAATTAAAATACAAACTTTATCATGATTATTCTAATAAATTGAATAACCAATTGACAAAAAAAAAAAAAAACGAATTGATTTTATATATTTCAAAATATAACAAAGTTATTCTAATCTTTGGTATTAAATTCGTTTATTCACTTTATTCAATACCAACATTGAGAATATCAATTGTTTTGTTTAAAATGTATAATGATCGTATATACTATATATTCTATATATTTAAAATAACAATTAATTTTATTTTTTCAATTTTGTATTTATATAAACATTTTATAGTGACTTTTGTTTACTTGAAATTTGATCTATTTTCAATAGCATCAACATTTATGTTATTTTCTAACATATGGTCATACGTGTAAATAAGTTTAAGTTGTATATTAACAAGGATAATTTATGAACCT